ACTCAAAGTTAGAATGGGGAAGGACTCGGGTGAGTACACACTCAGGGCTAGTGAGCACAGGGAAGGACTCAGTGAGTACACACTCAGGGCTAGTGAGCACGGGAAGGACTCAGTGAGTACGCACACAGGTAGCAATGGAAGATGAGCAGGTGTCCGAGCAGCACGGAGCTGGTGAGGACCAGCGGCAGCACCACAGTGAGCACTGAAAGGACCACGGGGGTCTTCACCCGCACAGCGCACAGCGGCAGGAACAGCAGCCATGTGTTCACAGTGCTGACCTCTGTGTAGACAAGGAGATCTGTCTATCCAGTGGCACCTGCCCACACCACAGCACCAATGGTCTGTTGGGCAGAGGGACAGAGTGTGCAGGTGTGTGGGTAGGGGGAGTCAGCCGGGGCATGTTCTCCTGTGCAGGTGTGTCCTACCCCATCTGAGGTCCTTGTGGCCACATAGCTGTGGCCTCCACCTTCTGAGTCTGTGGCGGTGCCTGGAGCCAGCCCAGGCCACTCCTCAGACCGGCCACCTCCCCTGTGGTGGAAAGCCCCCCCCCCCCGCCTCCCCGAGGCATTTCTGGAGCAGGATCTGCTCTGGCCCTCAGCACCACAGTGCCCCTCGGCACTGGTTTGTGAAGCTGCTGAGGGGCTGCGTGATAGAGTAGAGGGCTCGATCCACACAAGCACGTTTGCCTCACAGCACATTCTAGAACACACTCTTATCCTTCCACATTCTGGATGGTACAGGTCTGAGATCATGGTGGAGCAGGGTCACCCCTGCTCAGATGCTCCGGGGAGGGTGCTTGCCTCTTCCAGCTCTGAGCACTCTAGGAGCTCCAGCGTTTGTGGACCTCACCCCCAGCCTCTGCCTCCAGGTCTGTTTCCATGTGGCTTTGTGTGTCTGTATCTCCTCTTGTCTCTTACACTGTCATTGGATTTTGGGCACCAAGACCAAGATGAGCTCCTCACCTCAGGACCCCGCGTCAGAAGTGCACTGACCCATTCTCAGACAAAGGACACAGACGTATGTCCAGAGCCTGGCTCCTAGACCATTCAGTTGGAACATCACCCAACTGCTCCTCAGAGTCTGAAGCCCCCATCACCAGCCTTGATGGCTGCTCTTCTCTCCACAGACGTCTAGCTCCAACAGACAGACTCTCGCTCACTTTGTACCTGCATGTGGCCCAGAGTTCAGCATGTCTGAACGAGGCCAGCATGTCTGGGCCACTCAGGTCTGACTGGGAGTGACACAGGAACAGGGTTGGCCCACTCTTCTACCCTTCACTTCCTAGAGGCTCAGCTAGACTACGTCTAGACAGCACACGCAGGCCCCGCGTCTGCCTTGGGCACATGGGAAGCTACTAAAGTGTGCATGCTGGGCTGCTGTCCCTGTCTCAGGGTCAGTACCACAAGCACAGTCTGCAGGGAGCCCAGTAAGCAGTGACTGACACCTTCTAGCTTCTCTCAGGGACTTCAGATCCAGACTTACCACAGACACTGTAGATTCCGACTCACTATGTCTAAGGCCCAGAAGTGGAAGGGGGTGATGCTTTTATAATACAAGGACCTCTAGAGAAGCAGACCCCAGGATGTACCTTTATAGAGGGGGTCTGTGCGGAGCTCACTGGGGTTGGTAAAGAGCTTAATGGAGACATACAGCAGGATGATCATTGCGCAGAGCATACCAGCCAAGGCTGAGACCACGGAGCAGAAGAAGAACCTGGAGACGAGAAGCAGAGGCATGCACAGAAATAGGTGAGATGAGGACAGGCCAGACCAATACCAAATCCAAGGATGTACAGAATCACAGGGAGGTATAGGTGTGCCTACAGGACCAGGACCAAGGCTGTACAGAATATCACAGTGTGGTGCAGGTGTACCTATGGGACCAGGACCAAGGCTGTACAGAATCACAGTGTGGTGCGGGTGTGCCTACGGGACCAGGACCAAGGCTGTACAGAATCACAGTGTGGTATGGGTGTACCTATGTCACCAGGACCAAGGCTATACAGAATCACAGTGTGGTGCGGGTGTGCCTACAGGACCAGGACCAAGGCTGTACAGAATCACAGTGTGGTGCGGGTGTGCCTACGGGACCAGGACCAAGGCTGTACAGAATCACAGTGTGGTGCAGGTGTGCCTACGGGACTAGGACCAAGGCTGTACAGAATCACAGTGTGGCAGTATAGGTGTGCCTACGGGACTAGGACCAAGGCTGTACAGAATCACAGTGTGGCAGTATAAGTGTGCCTATGGGACCAGGACCAAGGCTGTACAGAATCACAGTGTGGTGTGGGTGTGCCTACGGGACTAGGACCAAGGCTGTACAGAATCACAGTGTGGTATAGGTGTGCCTATGGGACAAGGACCAAGGCTGTACAGAATCACAGTGTGGTAGTATAAGTGTGCCTATAGGACCAGGACTGTACAGAATCACAGTGTGGTGCAGGTGTGCTTACGGGACCAGGACCAAGGCTGTACAGAATCACAGTGTGGTGTGGGTGTGCCTACGGGACCAGGACCAAGGCTGTACAGAATCACAGTGTGGTGGGGGTATACCTATACGACCAGGACCAAGGCTGTACAGAATCACAGTGTGGCAGTATAGGTGGGCCTACAGGACCAGGACCAAGGCTGTACAGAATCACAGTGTGGTATAGGTGTACCTATGCGACCAGGACCAAGGCTGTACAGAATCACAGTGTGGTGGGGGTGTGCGTACGGGATCAGGACTTTCCTTTTTCTAACCATTTCCATTCATTCCATTCCCCAAGCAGACACCACTGGCTCCTGAGGATCCTAGCTGCAGTCCTCACACCTGAGCTCACACTTGTCTGTCATGACGTCTAGACAGACGTTCCATTCCTAACTAGTGAGAAAGACAGGCCCCATGTTGGCAGAGCCTAAAGCCTACCACACTGGCCCTCTCACGTTCCAGCTGTCTGCCTCAGGCCTCCACAACCCTGCTTTTAGTTCCTCTGCTGCCTCCTCAGGTACCTGCCGACTCCTTGTAGCCTTTACTTTGCCCCACAGTCTCCAAGGCTACCAGCCATTCCCTAGGACCTGTGCAGGCCCCTTAGGGCTGAGAATCCTGACATCCTGTCCTGGGACCTCTGTTGTATTGCCAATTTTTGGAGTCAAATTATATTCCAAATGCCATCCTCTCTCTCCTCTGCCTCTCTTCCCACTCTCTCTTCTCATTCTCTGTCTCTCTTTTGCTTGCTTTCTCAGCTTCTGGCAAATGATGAGACAGAAGGAGATCTGATGCAGATGCCAAGGCTCAGGACCAGCTCTTGTGAGTGAATGACACCCATCAGTTGTTCTCCCCTCTGGCCATGACTTTCTTCTCGTCATCTGTCTGCTCGTGGGTAAGGCCATGCCCTCACCTGCCCTAACATGACTTCCTAGAAAGGCATCTGGCCTACTGGCAAAGGCATGCATCCATGGCCAGGCATTCCATGGCCAGCCGGGCAGCCAGCCAGATACACCAAGGAGTGAAGGGATGGCCGCTTCAGACTGTGCTGGTTGCTATTCTCCAGGGAAGGGGTGGGCTGGGCATCCCGGGCCCATCTAGTCAGGCAGTTCCCACCCTATCACCACAGTGAGATCACCTGCACACCGTGTCAGTCTGCCCACACTATGCAAAGTCGAGTAGAGCGGCAGGGATGCAAAAGGTCAACTGCCGCTCTCAGGCCCAGGTCCCTCCTCTTGGATGGCCACTGGAGGCTCATAACCCACAGGCCTCGCCTTCTTCAAGTCAGTATGATTGGCAGAGGTACCTAATACATTCTTCCTGCCAATATTTACCACCTACTGAGCTAACAAACACCTCAGGACCCTGAGAATGCAGGAGACCCTGCCTTGTGTTCACAGACATTGTCTCTGTTGGGCCTGAAGCTCACTCCCTGCTTCTGCATCTGGACACGACTCTTGTTGATGACCTTAGTGTCAGGAGGTGGAAGTGCCATGACCTCAAGTTCAGAGCCTCAATCAGTCTGTCACCTGTAGACAGAGGCTAGCTCCTTCCTGTTCATGACCTGGTCCACAGTGATGGGCTCCATCATGGGATGGAAAGATGGCTCTACCAAATTGTCAGAACCAGTGGAAGTGGCCCTGAGCTCTGCCATGCCAGGCCAAGGGCATGCCCCCAGAATGACCCTTCCCCTGCTCCACAGCCCCGCCCATCTACTGTCCACAAGGCCTTCACTGATTCCCCTCTAGGGCCCGTCCTTGACCCTGCAGCCCCCAGTTGGGCTCTCACCAGTAGTTCCTGCTGCCCACACAGTTGTTTAGCCATTTACAGTGGTGATCAAAGCCAGAGACACACTTGTTGCAGGCACTGCAGTGTTTGGCTTTCTTGCTCCTGGAGAGAAATCAGAAACCACCTGTCAGCTTCATGTGCCAGCCAGGCTTCGGGGAAGAGCACCCATGCTCAGCTTGGGTGGGGGTCAGTTTACTGGATCCCCAGGAGGTTGGGGCCAACCTGGGTACAAGGTATGCACTAGAAGTCTGTGGGGATAGGACAAGGCCAGCCCTGGGTGCAACTACTCCTTAGAGGAGAGAGTAGTACCCATGGGTGATGCACAATGCAGGTGGACACTGACCACTTGGCCGCTTCCTGCAGCCAAGCTTGAGGGCGGGGGGGGGGGAGGATTCTGGCAGCGGGCCGAATCACTTCCTAGAAGCTGAGTGGCAGCTTGGGGCCCCTCCTGAGGTGTAGGACCTCCTTACCCTTTCTAGGCCTCAGAGACCTGAGACCTCACCAGATGCCCATGGAAATCACCTTCCTCCCCGACTGGACCATGGAGCCTTGGGAAAGCCCAAGATAGGCATAGCTACACCTACCCCAGGACCTGGCCTGCAGGTGCACAGAGTTCTTAGAGTGACAAGGCCCATTCTAGCCACAGTCCTTTAGCCCAAGGAGCTGCTCACTGTCCTGCAGGCCAGCCCTTCACGCTGCAGGGTGGATGGCCGAACGTGGCCTCAAAGAGGCTGTCAGGATTTAAATTCGTGTCTATAGGGTGCCCCAGCACCAGTGCCAGCTCAGTCCCTGCAGGCTCAGTGGATGGCACTAAACAGGGATGAGGGGCTCCTCCCACCCTGTGCTGAAACCCCGCAGCCCTGACCCGGCTCTGTGCGGCACTCACACAGCAACCTCACACAGGTGGCAGTACTGGTTCTGGATCACATGTGCGTGTTTGGACCGGTCGAAGGTCGGCACAGGCTGGGAGTAACTCTTCTTAAGTCGGACATTGGAGTCAGCTGGATCAATGGTAATTGTGATCAGGTGGACGATGAGATGGAACAGGAACAGCCCGCCAACCACCTGGAGTGTCAAGGAGCACACAGCCCTCGGCTGGTGGGCCTGATCTGAGGGGTGGGTGTGACTCAAGTGGACATGACGTGAGGGGTGGACATGACTCAAATGGACATGTCTTTAAGGGCACACATGAGTTGAAGAGCCTCCCAGGAAGAATGTCCAAGAGCAGGGGCCAGGGACAGCCTCTTGGGCCTCTACAAGATCGATGTGCTGCATTCTAGGACCAAACTGTGGACATTCTCACCCTCCATGGTAGGCACATGTCCCCACAGCAAGGGGCTACAGGAAAAGGGAACCATGCCCCAAAGCTCCACAGCTTTCTATCCAGAGTGGGCAGAGCTCAAATGCAAGCAGGGAGCTCTGATCTGTCCTTGCAGTTGTGAAGATGCTATGAACCGATGCATGAGGGACAGGTGTATTCTCTAGAAACAGAAGGATCTGTCAGAGAGTAGGAGGGAAGGCCAAACCTAAGCCAGCCTAGGTGTAGCATCTCATCTCCTAGAGACCCCAGACTCTCTAAAGGGCCCTGGATCTCTCTCTCAGGATTCTCAGGACTTTCAGGCAGGGCTCTGTGCAGCTGGGCCTAAGTGGCCTTGGGAGAGGATCTCTGTTCACTGGTAAGCACGATACTTCCCACTGGGACTGAGGGCAGTAAAAGCCCTCAGATCCCTACACTCTCCTATCATCCCAGATAACCAAACATAAGTGGATGCAAGGCCAGGGCCTCTTCCCTCTCCTTGCTGGGACTTTAGGGCTGGGTAGGGCAGTGTTCAACATCTTTAGAGGGAGTCAACAGGGTGACACCCTGTGTGAGAGCTTGTGTCTAAAGGTGGACGTTTCTATTGCCTTGTTTCTAGGCAATACAAAGACCATGGGTGCCTGTGGGTGGCTGTGCAGGAATTGTTAAAGCAGGCCCGACAAGGCTGAACCTGGCAGAAGCTCATTCTCAGAGATCAGGGGTGCTGTCCTGGCCTGCAGCCATCAGCTCTGTCACAAAGCTATATGTAGGCTCTGCCCAGATGAGGGTCCCGCAAGCACTGCCGTGATGCAAGGCAGTCGAGTGAGGTGCTGATTCTGCCCCAGACCCAGACCCAGGACACATCCTGTCACCTGGCATGAGCAGGGCCAAGAACAAGGCTCAGGATGCACAGAAGGGATGGCAGAGGTGGACGTGAGCCAGACACGAAAAGGCCCAGAACTAGTGTGCAGGCCTGGCGTGGGCAGGCATGTGGCAAGAGGGGTTGGACAGTGTAGGGAGATGTCACTGTTGGGGCCTGGAGAGACCACAAGCTGGGTGGGGCCTGGGTTACTTGCTGAGCACAGAGAGGGATGAGCTGCTGGGACCCACAGGATGTGAGTGGGTGGGACCACCGATGGGTGGTAGGCACAGGGATTGGCCCAGCAGCCCCCACGCCCTCCCTGTCTGCATGGTCCTGGGGCTTAGGCGGTGAGGGCAGAGGATAGACACAGCACAAAGCCATGGTCCCAGGTCAGGTCCTTCCTCCCCAAGACTAGACTATCTCAGAAGCTCCAGGCAGCAGGTGAGCTGAGGTTGCCAAAAAACACCTGGAGCTCTGCCACCACAGCCTGTGAGGTTCTCACAGCCACCCCAGATCACCAACATTACACACTGCTTACATAAGACCTCTGCTGCTTCCGGGCAGCGGGGGACAGCAAGGCCCATCTGCAGGATGGATGTGATGAGCTTCTCTTGGGCCTGGACTGGCAGGCAAACCCTGCCCGGGCCAGTTCTCAGAACCAGACACCCTGAATGTCTCCACCCAGGATCACAAACGGCTCTCACTGAAGGACCAAGTCACAGCACATCTTTTACCATGCCCTCATGTGCCCTGCTTTGCTAGGGACAAGATTTCGCTTCCAGTGTTACCCACACAGTACTGGTGACCTACATTTAATCCAAAGTGACCTGGCTAGCTACTCCTCTGCCACACACTCCAATGCCACCCTTCATAAACTCCCTGTCTCCGTCTCTGCCTTCACAAGCCCTACCTCTGTGGTGTCTTAGGTCAAGTGGAAATAAAAGGCGAAAGAGACAGGCAGGGCGAGGCCTCCCCTCCCTTACTACAGGGCCTCTCTCTGGAAGTTTCTGTCTGGGAGCCTGTGAGAACCCAGCTGGCAGGAACACTCCATAGCAACAATCTGTGTTTAGTAAACAAACAGCACAAGGGCGCCAGGCCGGGACACGCCTGCCATGGCCTCTGGCACTGCTGACCTCTCCCCCATCCTGTTTCCACAGGAAAAGGGGAGGCAGAGGAGCCCAGCCAGCCTCCCCACAGTCCCCATACAATCCGGACTCATGGCCTCCAGGGCAAATTCTGAAGCTGAGCTGGGAACTCAGAGCCCCATCAGTTACTAAAGACACTCAGGCAATGCTATGATACTCATGTGGTCCCCAGAACAACATAGGATTGGCAGAGGTCTCTAGGAACTGTAGAGCTATGGAGGGACCTCACTGGATGACTTTCAGAGCCGACCTCTCGGTAGTGACGCTGAGTCACACCATCAAAGGACCCTCACGGGCTGCCCATACGCCAGGTCCTTTGTTCTGTCCCCTGGCTTCTACCCCAAGTCCTCACCACAGCAGCCCCAGACCCTGATGCAGCCTGGACCTTGACCTTCCTTGCTCACTCCAGTTCCACCTGTGACCCAGTGGGCACCAAAAGACACAGGTGCCCTCCAGTGGCTGCAGCAGCCAAGGTTGCTGGCTGTGGCCCAGGGCCATCATTGCTTTGGTCCCTGTAGTCACGGGGCCTGCAGTCCGTGGTGAGGGGGAGGCGAGGAGGGCGCGAAGTCACCGTCATCAGTGCGGGGGGAGGGAGGCCTGTTGAGGGGTGACGCACACCACAGGGAGCTGAGCACAGATGCATGACTCCCACAACCTTTTGGTGCAGCTTCCTAACTACTTATCAGAAGGCCAGTTAAACACACATCATTCTTCTGAATTCTTTTCTTACTGAACTTGGTTTTTCACAGGACATCCTGTGGCAGGCTGTGGGAAAGGTTGAGGAGACCGACGTCTTTTCTGGGGTCACCATGCACAGTGCCTTCCTACTACCTCATTCCACACCCCTCCCTCCTCACTGCTGGGGCTACTCCCCAGGGCCTTCTACACCGCTCCTTGCTACAGCAGCGATTCCCATCTTCCAGGCCCAAGTATGAATCACATGGGACACAGGACTGATACCAACACAGAGGTAGGTGCCAGTTGGGAGCAAAACCCAGGAAACAGGCATGGCAGGTTCAGGCCTGCTCACTTGAGAGACCTTCAGAAGCCCCGACCCCCTCTGGTGCCAGGCAGCCCATTGACACCCCACGAGGAGAAAGGATACAGTGTAGGCAGCGTATTTCCCACCATCTGGCAGGAAAGGGATGAAGATCCCAAAGGTGATGAATGACAAGAGCAGGTACATGGTACAGGAGACTGCCTGGAATATGTGGAGAGGCCGAGACCAGCCATTTACCCTGGACAAGGGGCGTGGCTGGGTCCTCTTCACAGCGGGGTCCCGGGCTTCCGGAAGCACCTGTCTCCGACTCCTGCCACATATGTCCATCTGCAAGACAGAGAGGGCACAGAGGTTTGGACCTTAGTCAGATAAAGGGGCATGGACTGCTGCACCCACTCACCACCAACAGGAGGGGACTGCCAGAGCTGACAGTGTCCTAGTGTGGTCCAGGGCCATTTCAGCAGAGAAGCAGGGCCAACTGTGGCCATGGCAAATCTCTCCATAAGCAACTGGTCTTTATGAAGCAACCCATAAAGGCTATACAGGCCCCACAGGCCCTCTCAGCCAGGACCTGGCAAACCAGAGGCTTTGCAAGCTCTGCAGAAGCCTTTGCTACCACTGTACAGCACTGAATGTGGTGCTCCTCAATAAACATGCAGGCCCTTGGACACCAAAGGGAAACCTTCATGCCACAGGGGCCACAGTAAGGTCATGCAGGAAAAGGCAAGGGTTAGCAAACCAGCTGGCATTTCATCCACCAGAACCTTGGAGAATTCTGTCGCAACTTCCTCCTGAGAACTGAGTGGGGACCACACTCCAGGTGGTCCTGGGATCTCCTTCCCTGGGTGCAAGGAGACTTTACGTGACCCTAGATTCTAGTGCCTCTAGGTGTCCCCAAGTTGCCCAGGGGGACAGCAGCTGGGAGGGGCCCATGGCCACTTCTTGCCAAAAGGGGGTCCTAGCATTAGAGAGAGGGCATGGAAGATGATCTAGGCCACTGCAAGCTGGAGCCTTAAGGAGGCTGGGAGCCATCTACAGGGCTTCAGAAAATTTAGTGGTTAGTCTGTGCAAATACCCCAAAGGTACAGCATGTGCAGAAGGTGTGGCTGACACAAAATCTATCACTTCTACAAGACAGCAGAAAGAAGGCGCATTCTAATATTCTTTTCTTCTTGTGGGTTCCCCAGGGCACAAGGGCTGCTTTGTGCTTGTGCTCTCTGGGAGACTCCAGGCAGACACAGGCCCTGGAGCTTCTTTGATGTGAAGGCCCTAGGAGAGCCACTCAGCTGTGACACAAGGCCAGGGCGTGCAAGGCCACTTTGAGTACTGAAGACACAACTCCTTACTGAGCACCATCCAAGTGACAGGAAGGTGTCTAACACCGCTGGAAAGTTGTGGAGGAGAAATCCCAGACCAGTGAGCAGGATGAGCACTGAACGTCTAGGCGCAGCGTGATGTGGACGGAAGTTAGAACTCAGTATCTCCATCGAGAGGGGAGAAGGGCAGGGTGCAGAGATGCACACCAGGGAGAGGGCTTTCCCCGCCGTGCAAGCCTAGGCTGAAGCCTGTCCCAGGGGCAGAGAGGAACCTCAGAATACATCCGTGCTCGGAAAAGGTAGATAAACATACAGGTGCTCTTGGAAAAAGGACAACATAGTTTCTAAAAACCCTACCTGTGTTTTACTTAAAAAAAAATTGAAACATAGGGCAGGGCATGTTAGTGATAGGGCATTTGCCTACTGTCTATGAGGGTCCTCACATAGGAAAAATAAACTTCTGAGGGGATTTTTTAGCCTAAAATAGATATACTCGAATGGTAAGTATGAGAGAAGGATCAGGACTTTGGAGATGTGTGAGTGAGGTCATCTCAGGAGCATCCTGATAACACAGATACTAACCCTCAGACAAAACGCAGTAGGAAAATTAGCCTCAAACTTAATTTAAATAAAATCGAAACCAAAATCCAACCTAAGCAATAGCTGGTAGAAGAGTGACTGTGTGCAGCTGCGCTCAGTATTGTGCTCATGTGCATCATGTACACTCATTGTGTTCATGTGTGCATCAGGTGTGTGCTCCTCGTGTGCATGCCGTGTGCTCACTGTGCTCCTCGTGTGTATCATGTGTGCTCACTGTGCTCCTCGTGTGCATGCCGTGTGCTCACTGTGCTCGTGTGCATGCCGTGTGCTTACTGTGCTCCTCGTGTGCATGCCGTGTGCTCACTGTGCTCCTCGTGTGCATGCTGCCGTGTGCTCACTGTGCTCCTCGTGTGCATGCCGTGTCCTCACTGTGCTCCTCGTGTGCATCCCATGTCCTCACTGTGCTCCTCGTGTGCATGCCGTGTGCTCACTGTGCTCCTCGTGTGCATGCCGTGTGCTCACTGTGCTCCTCGTGTGCATGCCGTGTGCTCTCACTGTGCTCCTCGTGTGCATCCCATGTCCTCACTGTGCTCCTCGTGTGCATGCCGTGTGCTCACTGTGCTCCTCGTGTGCATGCCGTGTGCTCACTGTGCTCCTCGTGTGCATGCCGTGTGCTCACTGTGCTCGTGTGCATGCCGTGTCCTCACTGTGCTCCTCGTGTGCATCATGTGTCCTCACTGTGCTCCTCGTGTGCATGCCATGTCCTCACTGTGCTCTTCGTGTGCATCATGTGTGCTCACTGTGCTCGTGTGCATGCCGTGTGCTCACTGTGCTCCTCATGTGCATGCCGTGTGCTCACTGTGCTCGTGTGCATGCCGTGTGCTCACTGTGCTCCTCGAGTGCATGCCGTGTGCTCACTGTGCTCCTCGTGTGCATGCTGTGTGCTCACTGTTCTCCTCGAGTGCATGCCGTGTGCTCACTGTGCTCCTCGAGTGCATGCCGTGTGCTCACTGTGCTCCTCGTGTGCATGCCGTGTGCTCACTGTTCTCCTTGAGTGCATGCCGTGTCCTCACTGTGCTCGTGTGCATGCTGTGTCCTCACTGTGCTCCTCGTGTGCATCATGTGACCTTGGTGTCTCCTTGTGTACATCATGTGACCTTGGTGTCTCCTTGTGTACATCATGTGGCCTTGGTGTGCTCCTCATGGGCAGGAAATGTTGCAGACTGTAGTGAGAGTACACTTTTCCTGGCCCGATGTGGTCTCCACACACACTGTCACCTTACTCAGACTCGCAGATCAGATCATGGACTCTCAGGAGATTAGGGGACCTGGAGAGAACAGAAAGTGTTAGAGTTCCCTAGAGCAGGACAAGAACAGAACATCCTTGTCCCTTATAGGGTAAAATCCTCTCTCAGATATTTCTGTTTGTAAAAGCCCAAATATTATTTCCAATACTTTGAATATGTACAAAGGGACACGTGTGTAATTTTCTGTTCAAATCTTTATTTACTGGCAAATAATCAGTTTGGAAAACCCAGGACCCACTCTTGCTTGTCCAGAGTGTGGCCCTTTCTCCTTTCTCCTAAAAGTCTCTTTCTTAGAAGAATGGGCATGAAAAGGCAGGACCTGGTGCAAGGGATCCTGGCTTCTTCTCACCCGCTCTGTGCCTGTGGACAGACTTCTCTCTATCATATTCCATAACGGGAAGGTGGGCTGGTGGACACAATGACAATGCCCTCACCTCCCAGGACCCCCCAACTCATGTACAGTCCTCCCCACCCCGCAGGGCCCAGCCACTTTTGACAGTTGCCCCTCTCCACCCCCAGAGCCAGGCCTGCGGTATCCCCTGAGCCTGCCATCCCCCCAGTAGGCTGGCCTGATCGAGATTACTTTCCCTTCAAGAAAATAATGCCCTGTGTATTCCAAGTGAGAAATGTAAGAAATGACATGACAGTGAGGCCTCTCTATCTAGAGGGGTGGCAGGAACACGTTTCCAATGCCCTTCCTCTGCCTCACCTGGGCTAGGGACAGGAAGCAGAACAGGCCACAGGAGACAGGACAGCAGGCTTCAAGGCACTGACCACACACAGGATACTGAAAGTTTCAGTCACAGCTGCCAGAGAGACCACACTATTCCCAATTAGAATAGACAGCACAGAAAGCATATACACATACACCATACATGTAACATCCCACACAATTGCACACAGCATACACAATTTTTGACTCCATACACAGTATACAATGATACAACACTCAAATCACTGTATAACCTACATAGCAGATGACATATACAGCACACACACAGCACACAGTACTCACACTGCATACAATAGTACACACCATACCTAGCAGACAATATATAACCTGCACACACTAGACACTGCAGCATATAAATATACAATATTCAACCAGCATGTACACGCTACCATATACAATGACACCACTCATAACACCAGAACACAACAGAATAACACACACTACATATACACACATTGCCATACACATGTACACACACACACACACACAACTTCGTACATCCCATAACAACACAGACATGAAACCTGCAGCTACACTTCGCGGTCCCCTCTATCCTGATATCCTGGGCTGCTTCCCTCAAAATCATACCCCCACTCTGAGCTGAGGCCCTTTAGCTTATTCATTCCAGCTGTATCTTAATAAACCTGTTTATCATTCAAGGACAGGGATATCTGTGATGCATGTTTCTGGAGACTTGACTCTGGATCCAGGAATTAGCATTGTGGGGGTGCCTGGGTTCCCTTTTAGGTCATTTCTGCAGAGGCCTCTTGTTTGAGGCCCCTGAAGGGTTATTCCCCTTCAGTGTGAAGACATCCAAGGCCACAGTCCTGGAGCTTTCTGTAGGCCTTGTCTGAGCCTTGAGCCCTGTCTGCAAGTTGTCTCAGCCGTCTGCGACCCTTCATCATCCCCTGCCCTCCCCACATACTGTCCCTGTAGCTTTCTCTGCGGCTCAGTCCTGAGACCCAGCAGTACTCTCCAGGGGGCTGGCCAGGCTTGCAGCCCATCATCCGAGCGCTCAGGAGCAGCCGGTCCTGCCCCCACGCCCAACCTCACTGTGCTGACCCTGGCGAAGTGTCACCAGAGAGAAATCCTGCCAGCTCTGAAGCTGCCTGGTCAATGCTTCCCCTCTGAGACAGAGCCCCCTACTGGGTCCTGGTCCAAAGGGAAGAAGCCAAGCTATGTCTACCGTCCATTCTGATTTCTCACCTCTCTTACTAGGCTGAGCAGCAAAGAACAGATACCCCTCATTCGGTGCTGGCCAAACTGAGAAGTGCCCAGGGTAGGCCCGGAACCCAGGCGCCTCACAAAGCTATGCTGGAAGCCATAGAGACCACCAGCTTCTCCGTGGGGGTGGGGAGGAGAGAGGTGAGAGGAAGTTGGCGGGGGGGGGGGGGGCGGGGGCAGAGAAGTGACCAGACCAACTGGTCCCCATAAATGGACTCAAGGCAAAGTCACTACCCACCCTCCACACTGTGTCTGCTTTACATGCTCTGAGTTTTTACTATAAAATTCTTATGGGAGTGCCCAAGAGGTCAAGTGCTTGCTCAGCAAGTGTAAGGCCCTGGATTCAATCAAGGCCCTGGACACGGGGTGAGGGAAGGTACTACTGTAGCCCCATAATGAAAAGCCAACACCTTAATCACACTTGGCCCCATTCGAAGCAGAATGCCACCCTGAGCCTGCCAACTAGGGTCCACTCTGCTGCCCCTCCTGGTGACCGGCGTTTGGGATGACTTAATCCTGTTCCCCAATGTGGCTGCTCTGTGGCCATCTGGAGGGTGGCTGAACTAGAGTTACCAGCTCCCTTCTCCTTTCCCCTGTGGCCTCTACCCTCTCAAATCTTAAGTTCGAGATTGTTTTGCTCCTGTTTGTGAATGCCCTTGGTGGGCCAACCACTGGTACCCCTTGGGACTGTTCAAGAAGGGGTGGCAGCCTCTCTTGTCTGTCCCCTCACATCCAATGTGTACACAAACTCCTGCACACGCTTGTGCATCCTCACCTATATGCCTCATCTGTACCTAGACCCATACCCATATCCCATTTGTGCACACACCTGCCTTTGGCCTGATTTCTCCCTACACAGACACTCCATCACCTGTACCACTCACACCTCTGACATACACACACACCATGTACACCTGCACTTTCCCACTGAGGTAAGCTTTGAAGTGATCTTTTGCCTCTAATTGTCCCAAAGGCTGAGGCCTTTCAGAGCTCTTACAGCTCAGGCAAGGGACTTGATACCAACAAGTTAGGAACAGCCAACTAGGGAAAACTCAACCACACTTAGGGCTGAGGGGAGAACCAGAAGGTGGGCACTTGCCTCCGTGTCCCATCTGCATAAACTCTGAGGTGCCTTGAGATGAATTTAGAAGATGAGGGGTCAATGGATAGCCATGAACCAGAGACCAGCTGGGCCCTGCCCTATATACTGGCAAGGCACCTGTGAGGGACACAGAGGCTGATAGGCTCCCTGTCCTGGCTGCATGCTAGCTATTGGGCACGTGGAGGCTGCAGGGTACCTGGCCAGGCCAGTAGGCCTATGCGCAGCTCATGTGACTTGGGGCTCACAGGAGCAGTGAGCAGAGCATGTCCACAGATCATGGGCAACACCCCAACTGACCCAGGGTCAACCTTGTCTGTCCAAGACTTTTGGAAGTGACCTTTGTGGAATAGTCTGCCTCAAGTGACGATAGTTGCACATGAATAATTCACCATACAAACTGCAGCAATCAGACACATCATGCTTGATGCACACACCAATTCAGGACTAAAATGAGTCGTTCGGTCATGTCAACTTCAGGTTATGGTCTGTTTGTCCCAGCCCAACCTGTGATTATCACAGAGAGCTCTATGGTCAGAGTGAGGGCCTGAGATGCTCCGAAAGCTGTGCTCTGACCCAGCCTAGTTTCTGCAGAGGGAAGGTTGGGGTAGACACAGAGGGCAGAGGAAGGGCACAGGAGGGGCCAGGCATGGAGCAGGTGATCACAGGCACCAACGACTGACTCACGTGCACCTCATTGGTCTGTTGTGAGGTGCAGCTTCCAACTAAAACGATGTAAGATGCGTTCACCTGGCAGCCCATTCTGCTGTTGTCTGAGCCAGCTGAGGAGCTAGAACTCACCCGCAGGTGGAAGGTATCTGGCTCCGGAAGCTGAAGGGTCACGGGAGCCCTGCCAGTTGTTCTGACCAAGACCAGGAAGTCTGTGGCTTCCAGGGGAAGAAGGCCCCAGCGCAGACAAAATGAGAAGTGTCTTAAGAGCCAGGTCACCCAGCTGGAGAGGACCATGGGCCCTGTGGATGACCATGAAGCCAGACACGAGAGGGCATGGATCTTGGAAAACTAGACACCACAACTCCAGAGTCAGGGTAGACTGGTGATTATAGTGCCCACAAGATTTCTCTACAGAGCGATGGACTGTTCTAAACTTACAGCTGGGCTGGCTGCACAACATTATTACAATGTGCAACTGTATACTGTAAAGTGGTCAATGGTTAGTTTAGTGTTGTGTTTTACCAAAACAAAAGAGGAATTATTATGGTTTGAAGTCAGCCCTGGCAGGAAAGTCTGTGAGACTATTATCTCCATTAGCTACCAAAAAGCTGGAAATGGAGTTGTGGCTCAAATGGTAGAGTGCTGGCCTTGAGCACAAAAGTACATGGATGGCATCCAGGCCCTGAATTCAAGCTCCAGGACTGGCACACAAACATAAATAGGAGTAATTTTTTGAACAGTGGAGGGTGGGCACAGGGTTTCCCTCCTTCCTTTGGGGTTGGTGGCTCCTGGCATCAGGAAGGCATGTCCACAGCTCCAGTTGTACCACAGAGAAGGAAGACAGAAATTGGGATGCAACCCTCCAGATGGAGCAGGCACGCTGCAACACAGGTATGGAGTCCCTGGCAGGCCTTGATCGTCTAACACAGGCCATGTCTGCTGTGTGCAACACTCAGAGCTACAAGCTGGTGAGTTAAAGGTGCCAGAAGAGGCTCTGCCTCTGTGAGCTCACCCTGGGTAACTGTGGCAGACATGACTGCCTGTGTTCATGGAACCCAGGCTTCAGGAATCTCCCTGAGGCTGGTGGATCAGCGGAGCTCCAGCTAAGGCTCAAAGTCCAGGCATTTCTCCAGCCTTTCCTGCAGTGGGGACACAGCCCAGACCCTGGGATGTGGGAGGCACAGCTCCAAGGGTAGCCTGGGAGAGGGAAGTGGCAGCCTTGAGGCCAGGACACCCCAAGTGAGGTGTGACTCTTCTAGGGTGGCTACTCCTGGCCTAGGCTAGAATTAGCTGAAGCCATTTTTCAGGTGTTAGATGCTCTGCTCTCTACATCGTGTACTGGGCCTCAGCCAGCACCACAGCACAACCTGTTGTCATGCTTGTGCCTGGATACTGCCCACTGCCCACAGGGCCCTTCCAGCTACATTCCTCATCCCCTAGGACCGAACTTACATCTCTATCTGGTCCCTGAAAACTTTTATACTTCTTCAAGAGGGAAAAGGGTACTCAGCAATGCAGTGGGCCAGGGAACAACCATACTAAATCCATTTTTAGAAATCTCTTTATTAGGATCTGTGTTTACAGTATTCTGCAAATACAAGCAGGTACCCAGTAAACACATCCAATTACAAAACTCTTTACAGCTCTGAGTACTTCACAATACCTCACAGTCCGGCTCACAGTTTCCCAGTAGAACATCACCTTCCTCAGGCTCAGCCATCATACCAGAAGAAACTGCCTTACTCAGCCTGCCTGGGCTCCCCATGGGCTCCCGTGCTGATCCTCTATGGTCTGCTGAGAAACGCACTATGCTGGAGATGTGTAGGACTCTGACAGAATGAAGACTGGGCCTCATCTGTGCCCCCACACCAGCAAAGAAGCTTCGATCCACATGCTGGCACTCAGCACAGCTGTGCGATCAGCTGCAGACCCTCTATGTGGTTTTCACTGCTTGGAACTCACAGGACTAAACAGTGCTGCTGTCCCTCCGCGGCTGATGTGACTGCAGACAAGCCACCAACTCCCAGGACACTGCCAAAGGCCAGAGAAGAAAGACAAAAGTTTGTCTCAGGAAGAAAAAAGTGCACGCAAATAAAACTCAGGAAGAAAGAAAAACCCCGGGACTACTTACAAGTTAGTTCCTCGATGAGCCTGCAGGTTCTGGAGACTGGAGGAATTCGTATGGGTCATGGGTGACATCTGGCTGTTCCCCAACACTCAGGCGAGAAGGGCTTCCTGCAGACAGAGCTGTGGTGGACCTCCTGGACAGGAGTGGCCTCACTTTACACCTGACTTTTCAATGTAAGGTGAATGGGACCAAAAACACAAGTCCTTCTGGCTCTGGCCACACCCCCCGGAATGTTTTTTCTCTGGAAAAGGTCAGGATTTATTCTGCCTACAGAACGTGGTTCCATTTTCCCGTGGGAGGTAAAGCACTGGAGACTGATGTAGCTGGGTGGTGACTATGTGCCTCATTCACATGCATCACCAAGAGTAACAACAAAAAGACAGAATGGCAGGACCTGATGTGTTCAAGTGCCTTCAAGGAGCCATGGAGCCAACATCTGCTGCCACACATGGCCAAAACACTCATTCAGGTTCCCGTGCTGTGATTTCTCCCTTCTTGAACATAGTCTGATTGTCCCCTAGGAACACTAAAGCATACACACTGGCTAACACACAATCTGGGACAAAAATCTGGAATGGCAGAAGGTCCTGAGGGACAGATCTGGAACAGAAATAGACACGCGAGTTCCACCTGGCTCCAAGGCATGGTTCTGTGCCAGCCAGGGGTCCTGGGGCTGGTCAAAGGCCTGTGCGCAAAGCCAAGAGCTTGCAAACTCCTACACTAAGACTGCACTCCCAGACCTGTGGGCCTGACCTACCACCACTCTTGGGCTCCTACCACCAGACCCACTGGCAGCATACCTGGGGGGTGCTGATCTCTTTCAGAGGCATTGGACAGGGAGCTGAGGTTGGATGATGGCCGGGAACCTCCACGCTCCGCCTGTGCCTCATGCAGGTCCTGCAGGAGTCTCGCTGTCTCGTCCAAGTTCAAGTGACCGTCGTCATGATCCAGCTCCTTCTTTACTTTCCCTGCAAATGGGGTTGACAGGATGCTGGTGAGGCCCTGTGGGTTGGCCTGCAGCTGGATACACAGCAGAGGAGAGCAGGCTAGGGATGCAAACTCCCAGGGAGTAAGACTCAAGCAAAGTGTCCCACTGAATCTCAGCCTCTTGTTACACACGAGGCTGAGATCTGGGCCAATGAAGTAACAGATGACACTAGCCCCCTGCCTCAAACAAGGAGAGAGCTGCAGAGCATCCAACAGGGGTCACAGAATAGGCCTTCAACCCTGCTCATGGCTTAGAGCCAAGGAGACCCAGAAGGATGCATGTCCTCTCCATCTCAGCAAAGCAAGACCTGAGCCTGAAGGAAGGCACAACTGCCAGGGAGGTCTCCAGAGGCTGACAGATAAACAAGAAGCTCAGGGACATGTCTCTGATGCCCTGTATGCCACCAACTAGGTTTCTGGTGTCAAGCCCTTATAAAGGTACAGCCCCACCAACCCAGACTGATGACAGATCAGCAAGGTGGTAGGTCAATGTGGCCAACTTCAGCAGCCCAGGGGTCTTACACATAGAACTGGGGTCTTAGAAAAAGAATGGGCTGTGGGTAGTAAAGAAATTACAGGTGAATTATTTCCATATTTGACCAGAGCAATGTTGGATATAGGTATAAGAATTAATTTATCTAAAGAAAAACAAACCCAAGAATATTACAAACTTCTGAAAACTATAAGAAAAACTCCTATGAGTATCAAGAGAGCAACTGGTGTGCAGCCTGGTGACTGTCCTCAGGAAAGCTGATGCTCCTGCGGGGTTCCATAACCACAGATGCAAAACTGTGTGCATAGCCTGGACCACCCAATGTTTGTCCTGGAAGGAGATGCACCAGGCACTGGAGTCTACCTGTGTAGGCACTGGACACACCCCATGTACCTACTCCCTCTGCTGATTCTACCTCTTGCTGTAACAGATCAAGCCATAAGAATGACACCTCAGGTAGGCCACAGAGAAGACCAGTACAAGGCTATAAGATTCTATACAGGGTGGGTCTAAAACAGCAGAGATCTTCCCAGGTAGCCACACATCGGCTGAAGGGTGCCCGGGGCCAAATATGGTAATTATGATCCCACCTACTTGGGGGGCACGATGGTGACAACTGTGGTGGAGGCCAACCTAGACAAAAGGTTAGCAAAAATCTCAAAAAGTAAGGTAGGCATGGCAGCTCAGACCTGTAATCCTAGCAACATAGGAAACACAAAGAAAGACCACAGGTCAAAACATGAGACCCTACCTGAAAAATAACTACCAACAAGGGCTTTGGGCATGGCTCAAACGATAGAGTACCTGCACGGTAACCTTGAGACTCTGAGGTCAAACTCCAGTAACCTCCCAACAACAAAAAAACCCAAACACTAATGAATTATTTCATACTGTCTCACACACTACGCTTTTTTCCTCGTTGGTGCTATGGGTAGAACCCAGGGCACTCTACCACTGCTGACCTCCATTCCTAGCCCACCACAGCACCTGTGATACCAGACCGAGCCCAACTTTTCAGCACATAGCTGGACATCTCTAATTCAGCACAGCTGATACTGTTTCCCTGAGACAGTGTCAACTCCCAGGCTGAGGGTTCGGTTCCAAGATGGGTCCCCCTTTCAATCCTCAAAGAGTCCCACATCACTTTTCTATGCTTCTGACGAGTGTCTGTCAGGGCAGCTCTCAGAACATAGGGAAAGCAAACATTTTGCTCTTTCTACATCACACACATCAGCCACATGAGCAAGTACCCAGGCATGACTCACCCAGAGAGCTGAGCATAGAGATGTCCAGAGAGACATCAGAGTAGGATTTCATGGACATGAAATCCAGGACAGAGCCACTGCCATCTCCCAAGGCATCGCCAACCTGTAGGAGTTGAGGTAAGCATTGAGCAACAGTGAAGGTAAGCTATAAATGAAGCAAGGGATAGTTAATGCTAGCTGCAGAAATGACATATAATGTAGTAATTTTGAGCTCATCCCTTGTCCTTGAAGCAGCAGTCCACAAGACCCAGGCTTTGAGCTCATGAATAGATGCACAAATTCACATTAAACATCAACTCAGACTAGTGTCGCCCTTGGTAACTTTGCTGTCTACTTGGAGCAAACCATCCTTTGCTAACTTTGTACAAGATTCACAAGGCATTCTGGGGCTGTGGAAGGGAGCATGCCACAGACAGACACATAGACTCTAATGGGCCCATGACCTTTATCAGGAGTGATGAGGCATAATTCAAAGACAAGACTTTCTCTTGTCAGCAAGGACCATTGTGAGAGTGAGCCTGCATTTCTCCAGGGTTCTGGGCTGCTTCTTGCTGCCCAGCTTTTGCCCTCAATCAATGCTCAGGTCTCCAACATTTCCCAAGGGCCCTCACCCAGTCCCCACCTGGTCCGTGGAGACACTGTAGCATGGCACATGGCATTGCCTGCCATGCCAGACCATACTTGCTACTGGCTCTGAGTAGCTCAAGGATGTGAGTGGCCCAAGGCTGGCCTCATGGGGCCACTGTTCTGAAACTCCTGGCACTGTGCTTGGATCAATGTTCTGTAGCATAGAGCTCCCCTCAGGTCACTAAAGCAGAGGTGGTTCCTAAATGGACTGACATGAGGTCATCCTGCCACTCCCTGCAAGGGCTTATGAACAAACCTCAGGTTGGGCCTCTATTTCACACTGGAGACACCCACCTTCATCTCATCCACAGGCCTCATGGGAACACTTCTTCTCTGCAAAGGAATGAGGTAAGAGAGCAGTTTTTCCAACGCAGTCTTACATTTCGGGGTATTCCTTCATGCTCTGCACACACAGCAACACTGCCCTGTTCACCGCCTCATCACATTTTGCTATGTGCAGGGACTGACTTGGGCTCTCACAACTCTTCCAGCTGGCAGTGAGGCAGGAGAAGCATTTGCTGTGCTAGCTGAATGCCCAGAAGTGCTCCAAGGAAGGTGCCTAGGGGTAAGTGGTGTGGGCAGGAGGATGTGCAAGGCTACACCTGTAGTTGAAGGACAACTTAAGAAGAACACAGGTCCAGCAGTTCAGCTTGGACACAACATGCTGGGGCCATCTTGACAGAGATGGAAACGCCATCCCTGCTGAGGTGGTCATCATTTTCTACAGCAAGCTGGTCCTGGCTCCAACAGGCTATGACCTTAAAAGTGCTCTAGTTTTACATACATTCTGCAAAAGAATCCATGACTTTAAGCCAAAACAGTATTTGAGATGCCTCTGTGCTGTGATTTTCACCAACTCTTGTTAGAATGTGGCTATCATATTGTTTCCACATAGAAAAGGCTACTAATTTTACATGCTTTAATGCTGATTATCATTTAATGCTGCCATGCACTTGAAATTATTCAACTCTAGTGCAATATGATCACCTAGAACTCAAGGGTTAGCTGACAGTGCAGTGTCACTTCAGGGCCACAGCTAGCAAGTTCCTTCCTGTCTCACTGACACAGCACAGAAAGGCGTGTGCCCAGGGTGGCTTCCATCTGTTAAGAATCTTCAGCAGGAAGATGGCAACTAGAGCGTGGACTACGCTCACACCAGTAGGAAGGGTTCTGGAGAGACTGCAGGGTCTCTATACTCATCTGTGCATGTATAAAGCAGGCTGAGGCCAGGAGAACCTTGGGAGCCATGAGCCAAATTCCTCTCTAAGCCCATGTGGACAGAGCAGAAACTTTCTAGAAAAGTTGGGCCACTCCTCAGCATTAGGACTAAATTAGCACTGGAGTAAGGGCCATCTTGATGCTACCTGACAGGACAAGGTGATACCTGGAAGTTTACCTTTTTGTCAAACTGAACATCGTTATAATTAAAAAGAAAACAGCTGGGTGCCAGTGGCCCATGCCTATATTCTTAGTTACTCAGAAGGGTGAGATCTGAGGACTGCAGTTCGAAGCTAGACGGATAGGTAAGTCCATGAGACTCTTATCTCCAATATCACAGAAAAAGCTAAAGTGGCACAGTGACTCAAGTGGTACAGCACTAGCCTTGAGCAAAAAGAGCCTAGGGACAGTACCCAGACCCAGCATTCAAGTCCCAGGACCAGCAACAAAATAAATATATATAAATCTCTCACACGGTATAACCCCTGTTTTCACTGTATTTGATGTTGGTATGGTTTGTGGAGGGGAAGGGAAAAAACAAATTGTTTAAATAGGGATACAGGTGGACCCATTGCAATGAGATGTACAAGACGTTAGGTCAAAAAATGAACTTTACAACTTTGGCAGGGGGGGAAGGGTAGGGGGAGATGGGAAGGGATGGTAAGGGGAAACACAGGAGGAGGCAACAATACTTGATAAGAAATGTACTCATTACCTTGCCCATGTGATTGTAACCCCTCTGTATGGTATTTTCACAATTAACAAAAAAAGAGAGAGAAAACATAAAATCCAACCAGCTTTTACCCAAAAGAAAAATACTATAAGCACACACTAGATTTGAAATTTTCTAGCAGCTACACTTAAAATTACATTTGTGTGTATGTATGTGTGCGCGTGTGTGCATGTTGTGTGTGCCAGTATTGGGGCTTGAACAGGGGGTCTTGGGCCTTATGCTCTCAACTTTCTGCCTTATAACTGGCATTCTACCACTTGAGTCACACCTCCAGTTCCAGCTTTTTGTTGATTAAATAGAAGTCTCTCAGATTTGTCTGTCTGGGCTGACTTTGAACTGAGATTCTCAGATCTCAGCCTCCTGAGTTGCTATGTATGAACACCTGGTGCCAGTCTAAAATTCTCTTAATTTGCAATTATTTGTAACAAATTTACCCAATATATTGTGAATTTTTTATCTCCAAGTTTTTAAGTTTTATCTTTTATTTTACAGACTAATGGTTTATTTATTAGTGTATATATTTTAATTATTATTAAATATTATTAGTGTATATATTTTAATTATATTCACTTCCTAATTACCCATGTTGAGTACATTTTAATTCTAACATATAACTCATGTAAAAAATGTATATTTCCTGTTTTGTATTTGTTTCCAAAATTCTAAATTCCAGTTTACACTTTGGTCACATCTAAACTCAGGCTAGCCACATTCACATTTCTAAGTGGCCACACATGGCTGGTGGTTGTCTCCTAGACCATCAAGGCTAGATTCCCTATGAAATAAATCCAGAACTTCTGAACATACCACAGATCAGCGGCAGGCAATGAGCCATCAACAGAGATAGTTCCATAATGTCAGAGAGATGCTGGAGTCACTGAATAAAGCCTTCAATGTTACGTATGTGCTCAGGTTATTTACCAAAACACAAATACAATGTGAGAGAATAGATCTAAAAAGGACCAAATGGAATTTTAGAGATGAAAGACTAGTATTTTAAATGAAAATGTCCCAGGCTGTAATTAACAACAGGGTTTATAAAAGGCAAGAAAATGGTTCTGATGAATCTGAAGTTGAAGCCATAGCAACATAAATTATCTACACAAAAAATGCAAGACAAACAATAAAAGAGAGTAGAGCATTTGTAACATCTGAAATGACATCAAGTGTCTAGCACACCAAAGTCCCAGGGGGCAAATGCTGGGACCACTCCATGTATACATGCTTTTCACCCTCACATCATGCAAAGCTAAGAGCTTACTGTCTGCAAATCTGTGTGGTGAGAAATACCAAAAGAAAGTCCTCAAGACAAAGTAAAATCATGGCAGATGGAAGGGATTTTTATTTATGACTGCTGATGAAAACATGGCAAGCTCTTTGGAAGATAAGCAGCTGTTATAAGCTGGTCACCTAAATACAACCCATTCTAGAAGCCCAGCTGCACTAGTTTGCACAGGAAGCAACACCAAAAATGGGGCCCAGAGCCTGTGCACAAAGACACATGGTATACACAACCCACCTGCTTTAGTTGGAAGAGCATCCTTGAATGATCTCCACCTGTGATCTGATCAAGGAGGTCATCCACCATTTTCTTGCTGTAGCTTCCAGCATCCTTCACAAATTCCTGCAGGCTAGAAGAGGATTATGTGAGAGAACGGGCCTCTAATTTTGAAGTTTTGTTGCCTTCCAGTGATTGAGTTCCTGACTTCCTCTAGGGATTACCCAGAAAGGGTACTTTTGAAGAACAGAGATTTCCAAAGTGGAATGGCCAAAATTTCTTTAAAAGATCCAGGGAAGTAGTCTTTCTTTCTTTCTTTTTTTTTTTTGTCAGTTGTGGGGCTTGAACTCTGGGCCTGGACGCTGTCCCTCAGCCCTTCAGCTCAAGGCTAGCGCTCTACCACTTGAGCTACAGAGCCACTTCCAGTTTTCTGGTGGTTTATTGGAGAGTTTCACAGACTTTCTTGCCTGGGCTGGCTTTGAACTGTGATCCTCAGATCTCAGCCTCCTGAGTAGTTAGAATGATAGGCATGAGCCACTGAAGGCAGGGATGGTATACATTCACCGGTACCCAATCCATTAGAGTATAACTCATGCTATCTCACTTCTGTAAGACAGATGTTCAAATACACCAGCTTCAATTTAAAAGTACTGCAGCCTGGAAGTATACAGTGGTGGGTAGGACAGAGGGAAGGGAAAGAGATTTTGTACACACTTTTTGGTACCACCTTGGTTTTCAAATCCTATGAATACATTAGCTTAAGAACAATTAAGTAAAATCTTATCTAGGTAGGGAACAAACATCTACAACGCCAGGACAAAAGCACCAAGCATAGCCTCCCATGGGCTTTCAGACATAGAACATCACAGAGGAACAAGGAGGGCTGGGCTGGTCATGAAGCCAGTGGACAAGGGAAGCCATTATTGGGAACACTGACCAGAGGAAGGCAAAGGTCCAAGTGCCCATCAGTCGACCCTCGCCTGGACCACCAGCTTTGTGTTGCTTCCTGTAGCTGTCAGGCAGTGCCGTGTAGATCTTGGGTTCTGGGAGCACCCACATGGGGAATGCAATGGGATGTAGATGATCTGGGGACAACTTGCCCCTGGGGTCCTGAAGGAGCTGAGCTGAGCACAAATGAAGCTTGGGGACTGCGGCCGGCTGGGCCAGTCTGGGCCCTGAATGCTGGTCCCCCAGCCCTCACTTCTCTCCAAAAGAAATTCCTCCATTCTACTTCTTTTTTATACACACACCCCAAATCTGACATTCATTTATTTGATAAAAGGCTAAATAAATTTTGTACTCTACCTTTGAAAATGAAGTTAGACTCTATGTGCTCATACTTTATACTTATCTTTAAAATGAATTTATACTTTAGCCATAAAAATTACTAGAATTATACAAAGATGACCCCGGAAAACAAAAACTACAAACAAAAAAGTTCTATGGAAATGTATCACTACATTTCTGGCTAAGGATTATTTTAGTCTCTGTTACAAGCTGAATTTTCCACCACCCTACACAGTCTATCAGTCCTGACCCAGCGCCTCCGAATGGGAGTGTATTTGAGATAAGTCTTTTCAGTCACTAGGCTGACCCCTGATCTGGCCTGTTGCCCCCACAGTGGCGGTCAGGACAGACGGCACACAGAGGAACACCACATAAGGACAGGGGAGAAGAATGCCAAACCAGGTCCTAGAGACATGCAGCCTCCAGGCCTCCAGCAGGGAGGTCTGTTGGCCAAATCTTGCCTATGGAGCCTTTTCACAGGGGTTCCAGCTGATGAACAAGCCACTGAGAAACATTTCTCAGTGTGAAATAAAACTTAGTGAGCATACACAATTGGACTAAACATGTAAAAGCACACATTCTCTCTTCTTTTTATGGTAATACTAGGGCTTAAATTTAGGTCTTATGCTCTTGCTTGGCTTTTTCAACTAAGGATGGCACATTTCCACTTGGGCCACCTACACTTCAGGCTTTTAGCTGGTTTACTGGAGATATGAGTCTCAAGATTTTTTTTTTTTTGGGTCCGGTCGTGGGGCCTGAACTCTGGGCCTGGGCACTGTCCCTCAGCTCTTCAGCTCAAGGCTAGCACTCTACCACTTAAGCCACAGCGCCACTTCCGGCTTTTTTCTTTTTGCTTATGTGGTGCTGAGGAATCGAACCCAGGGCCTCGAGCATGCAAGGCAAGCCCTCTACCACTGAGCCACCTTCCCAGCCCCGAGTCTCAAGATATTTTTTTCCCCAATCTGGCTTCAAACCTCAGATCTCAATCTCCTGAGCAGCTGGGGGGTTAGAACCTGTTAGGTGTTGTTTTGAGAGCACCTGGGCTTGAACTCAGTTCATGCTTGCTGGGCAAGCACTCTATTGCTGAGTCCTGCCTTCAGTCTTCTTTTCACACTGGTTATTTTTATTCACTTTTTGTTGAGGACTGTACCAGGACCACGGTTCCATTTTACACCTCCCTCCACATTGTTGGTTTATTCTGTTGGCATCATAATACCTTGCAAACCTTCTGTCCAGGCTGTTCTTGAACAGCCATCCTCCCAAGCTCAGGCTCCAATATCGCTGGGAGACTGAGCAGAATACATCCAGCTATTGGTTGACAATCTTACAAACGTTTTGCCCAAGTTGGCCTCAAACTATAATCTTCCTGATCTCTACCTCCTCAGTAGCTAAACACATAATTTTTAGTACACTATGTCCTGGATCATCATAAATGAAGTCCAAGCTAGCCTGAATTACCTCAATTTTAAGACTGGCTTGCAGCCAACCAGAATGGACAGCTGGAAATAATGTGGGAATTCCTACTACACTTCTGCCCCTGCTGCCAGCACTATCTATTGCAGGGCCCTGAACTATTCACTAGGAAACAGTTCACACCACACACCAAGCAAGGGCTCCTGGACACTGCTGTGCACCTGCCTTACCTCAGCGCACATTGCACTCCTGTCTCGTCTCCATAGGCCGAGTACAGCAGCTCCATCTCATCTGATTTCAAGTCACCAAACACGGAGTTGTTCTGCATAGAAAGTGCAGTGCTGGCACTGGAGAGGAAGGTGACTGTGAGAGAACCAGGAGGATGTCAGATCCATACAACCAAGCGGTGTCTCCTTTAGGTGGTTCCCTGGCCCTCCTTTCCTTCCTCGCTGAGTTCCCACTGTGGTCCCTGGCCCTCCTCTGTTCCAGCAAGTTTCCACTGCTGAGCTAAGTGCAGCAGTGGAAACTGGGTGACCAGTAGAACCCATTCACTCTGTGGACCAGGGCTGCAGAGTAAGGGCTGCTCATTCATGCTGTAAGGGACATGCCTCCTGGATTAACAATAGGATGAGTTCATGGGATCCTCTCTGGCAAAAGCCATGAGGAGTTGAACCTACATAGGTAGGGTCTGCTCTTGACCCAGGGGATACAACAACGAGTCACAGTCTGTCTAGGCAGAAAGAGCACCAGGCTCAGTGGCCACAGGAAGAGGCTGGGCAGGGGAAGAACACCAGACTTGGTGACCATGGAGGTGGCTGGGCAGAGAAACAGGTGGACTTTTCCACTTCTTCAGTAATGCCATCATGGACTGTGAGTTCTGTTGCCAGTTGTGTTCTGTACTCTGAAGCAGCATCCTTGGCCTTTCCCCATGAGGTGCTATGGTTTATCCTCTCCCTCTAGGTAGCAATACAAATGTCCCCTTGGGACAGAATGGCTTCCATTTAGAAGTACATCAGAGGACAAAGACAAGGACTCAAAAGCAAAGTGAAAAGTTATCAACTGCAGTGAACGAGAGGCTGGGAAAGCAAGGGTATGGGTGAACTGTGCATTGTGGAAGACTTGATTTAAAAGGAAGCCAAACAGAGAGGATTTTAGCAGAGCGGCAGAAAAACACATTCCAGAAAGATGATACCCATAAGCCAAAGTGTGGAGGGAACATCCAGCTATCCAGTGCAAGGAGCTGGTGTTTGTGGTAAAGTCTGGAGGGAACACCCAGCTATCCAGCACAAGAAAGACGGTTTGTGGCAAAGCTGAAACAAGGGTGAGAAGCAGAAGCACTCTCCATGAAGCAGTCAGTGCAGACTCCAAGTTGACCCTCTGAGGGCTCAGTGTAGGCAGGAGTCATAGAAAGCAATAGAAAAAAGTAGAAATGAGAGCAGACATAAATATATCCTGACCTTAAGGAAGGATGTTTCTGAAAAAAGGCTTCAAACAGAAAACACAAGGAAAAATCCAAAAGATGAAAATAAATGTGTTCATTGGGATTGTAAAACAGTTTGTACCTCAAAAAATTACTAAAAGTTATAGAAGCATACTGAGCAGAAACGGCTATATGTCCTGAAAAGTAAGGAAGACAGCAGTTCTCCCTAAGGCAAACTCATAAAGGAGCACCAGCCTGCTATCCAGTCTTAAAATACACACATATATGCAGGTACAGACATACAAACATGTACACACCAAACTAACCCTCCTCATGATATACACACATAATATGCACAAACTAAGCCTCATGCAAAAAGCACCCACATCAAAGCAAGATTTATCATGTACATGCACACACAAAAAAAAACCCCACATCAAAGCAAGCTTTACAATATGCATATACATATTAAAACATTGTATGTAGAAAAGCCTTAGGATGACGTGTGTACAACATACATGCCGAGCACCCAGGACACACGCTCCAAGTGGATGGAACATGATAGGTCTGCAGCTTGACACTGCAGCTCCTCCTCAGCAACCACCTGCAGGCTCCCACCAGGGCAAGGTGGCCAGTCTTGCCCTGAGGAGAGCCTCAGGAAGCTCAGTCAGCACAGTTGTTACCAAGTGTGACTTTACCTATTACTTTTTTGGTTGTTGGTCATGGGCTTGAACTCTGGGCTGGAGCGCTGTCCCCTCAGCTCTTCAGCTCAAGGCAAACGTTCTACCACTTGAGCCAAAGTGCCACTTCCAGTTTTCTGGTGACTTACTGGAGATAAGATTCTCGGACTTTCCTGCCTGGGCTGGCTTTGACTGCGATCCTCAGATCTCAGCCTCCTGAGTAGCTAGGATGACAGGTGTGAGCCACTGGCGCCTGGCTACCTATTATTTTTAACTGGTCTTAGTTTTAAAATATAAATGTAGAAACAGCAATAAAGCTATGTGAAGAAAATCCTACAGGAAGGAGCTGTTTCACCACTGCATTATCAGCAGAGTCTTGGCTGCTTTTCAGTTCCCATGGGCTCCCTCTCTGGTTACCACACTCACCTTTATTTCTTCTTTCATCTTTGAAGCCCAGCGTGGTGAAGCCTGGGAGCAGCTTACTGGAGAGTGAGCTCAGATCCACAGGGTGTGTCTCTTCCTCTGTGGGAAGATGTAGGGTGATGTGAGCAGGTGGGACCTAACCCCACTACAGCACAATGGACTGAAAGGGTGGATGGGGAGAGACCTAACTCTACAGTGACCACCTAAAAATAAATGTATGAGACTGACTACGTTTCAGTTCCATCTTACAACTACCCCAGACAATACAGCGAATGAAATTAAAATTCATGTCTGTTGACCATGGCACCAGAAATACTTTTAGCATTTTGCTCACTCAGCACCTCCACGAAATCTCCCTTTCCATGTTATTATAACAAAAAAGTGGCCCCTCCACTCACTCAGCTGATGGCCCATCAACTGTACCAGACTACCATGCAAACAATACTCAAGGATCAGAACAGTTCATTCTCACTTCTGACTAGAACATCAAACTCCTAAGTGTCGATCACCTTGTCTCATCTCTCATGGAGAACACGGCCATTCCGACAGTCAGAATTTATGCACACACATCTCAGCACACACTGAGAAAATGAAACACCCCTGCTGAGTAGAGGAACAACACTAGAACAGAGACCAATGGAGGGAGCTGATAGGAAGAACTGCACAGAGGGCACAAAGGAGGACACCAGACATGGAAGCTGTGGAAGGGACTAGCATGAGGTCTGAGTGTGCTCACAATAGGAGGTGATGGCCCAATGTGCACTCACACTAGGAGGGGACAGCCCCATGTGCACTCACACTAGGAGGAGATGGCCCCATGTGCACTCACACTAGGAGGACATGGCCCCATGTGCACTCACACTAGGAGATGTCTCCATGTGCACTCACACTAGGAGGGGACAGCCCCATGTGCACTCACACTAGGAGGAGATGGCCCCATGTGCACTCACACTAGATGTCTCCATGTGCACTCACACTAGGAGGAGATGGCCCCATGTGCACTCACACTAGGAGGAGATGTCTCCATGTGCACTCACACTAGGAGGAGATGTCCTCACATCACTCACACTAGGACGGGATATCTCCACATTATTCACACCTCCACCAGACCTTCCAGAAATACTGGCGAATCTTCCTTCTTTAACAACTGAGCTTCAAAGCGCCCAAGCTAGCACTCTGGCTGCTGGTAAAGTGATGTAAACACAACTCAGGTGGCTGATGCCACTCCAAGAACCTGACAGGCCTGGCTGCCACCTACTCTTGACAACACCTACTGGCTTACTCTGCACATGGACATGTGCAGGAACAGGAAGCTGGGCAGCAGTGTCGCTGTCCTGTGTACACAAAACACGTGCCCTTTGTTACATGCACAGAGCTCAGAGGACTATGCGGCAGCAGACAGACAAGCCCTGCAGGGCACTCACCATCGGCATCTGGCTCAGCTGCATTCACCACGCTGTAGAGCAGGCTCCCATCTGCCAGCTTCTTCAGGTAGCCCATCTGCAAGCAGGTAACATCTGAGTATTGTTCCACAAGGGAACTGTGGCCTTCTACTGGAGCACAAATGATGTGTTAACCAGAGAGAAGGCTTTAGCTTGGGTAAATCCAAAGGCCCCAAGGCCACAATTCTTCCAGGAACAAACAGCAGAGATTCTCTCTCATGTGTCCTCTGGAGTCAAGGACTGACCAGCTTGCAAGTGAAAACACCTATTTATACCTATTAAAAAAAGAAGTCTCAAGTTCCTTGCGACCCTTTCGAAAGAGGGTACTTTTCAAGCAAACACTCTGACCTAGATGTAATTAAAAGTTTATGTTTGTACAAAATGAGGGAAAGCAAGCATTGTACCAGCATCTGATGATTTACAGCCTCCATCTCAAGCACATAGAAATTAGTTGTACTCAACACTTACCACCCAACAACTTGTTCTGTCAAAAGCTATCAGAAGACTCAGGCAGACAAGACACTAATGTGCTGACATGTACTGTGTTGTGGGGTAGGGGACATAGCTATACAGGGGACAGATGACACCTGAGCACAGGAGGAAGAGGTGGGTAGGGTGTAGGAAGGGGGGAGGGGAAATCTGGCACAACAGAGAAGTGGGCTTGTGGAGTTGGATGCAGGTGAATGGGACAGAGGGTTGGTAGAGGGCAGGGTTTTCAGCAAATGCAAACATGAATGTGGACAAAGTTTTCTTTCTAGAAGCCACAGGAGTACAAGTACGAGTACACACACATGTGTACTTCCTGGTAACATGAGTGCGGCTAAAGGTTTCTGCCCAGAAGCCCCAAGAATACTTGGTGTGCAGACACATGTGTAACTGGTTCTACCTGAGAGTGCTTCAGATTCACTGAGAGTGGGAGGTCTGTTTCTAAACAAGGTTCTTCATTAAAGGAGCCAGAGTTCACTGGAAAAAGAGCTGAGTCCAGGAAAAGGAAAAAAAGAAGAAAACTCCACGGCTTACAGACATGAAAGGTATTAAACAGACTGAGGGCTACAGTTAAGGCCAGCAGCCAGGTTGTGGGCCAGCTGGAGAAAGGTCCTCAGCACTGTCCAGGAGCAGAACTGCCATGTGGGCAGATGACTCAGACTTCTAGTAGGCATATTCAAAAAAGAAAGGCAGCCAGACACAGTGGTTCACACCTTTAATTCCAGCCACTAAGGAGGTGGCAAGCAAGAGAATCAAGTCAAGGTTTGAGATCTCATCTCAACAAGCAAGGTGTGGTAATATGCACCTGTCACCCCAGGGATGAAGGAGGCAGGGAATGGGGAGGGGTAGGCAGGAAGATCTAAGGTCAGCCCAGCAAAAACATGAGATGAAAATCTACCTAGAAAAAAAAAGTAAAAAAAGGGCTGGGGAAAAAAAACAAAGAAACGAAAGAAGCAACATATTTCAAGTGGTAGATCAACAACCTAGCAAGCAGAAGTGAGTTCAAATCATAGTACCACTACCAAAAAGAGGAGGAAAAAAAAATAGGCAAAATGAACCTTCAAGTTTTGTAGCTGTTTCTGTGGTGCTAGAACCTGAAACTCACTAATGCTAGGCAAGCAACTCTACCATTAAGCCACACCCTCGCCTACTTTAGTAGAGCAACTTTGGCCTGGACTACTCTAGCATAAAGGGTGGCACGATGAAGACCTGTGTCTGGCTGTGAGGACACACTGGAGTTTGGGGCTGGGGCTCTCCTTAGTGGCAGAACCACGTGCACTACCTTGCTGCCAGGGAGGGAGCGGCTGATCCTGTCGCGAGCCTCATCGGCGGCGTGCTCCACGAGGGCCAGCACGTGCTCCTCTGCAGTGCTGTCTGTCAAGCTGCAGGCATTCCCTTCAGGCTCGAACATGCAGCTGCAAGCAGGTATATCAAACATCACTACAAGCACAGCCTGCCCCGTTTAGTCAGAACCTAACCTAGCCTCTGCTGAGGTGCCCCTCACAGAGGCCGGCTGGGCAGTGAGGGGTAAAGCTTAACTTCCCTTTCACATTCTAACCACAGCAAGATAAAATGCTGTCATCATAGTGAAAAGCACAAGCCAAGCAGACCTGTGCTTTGTATGTCTCAGTTAAACACTGTTATCTTAGGAACAGCAACAAAAATAAAGAAGGAAATGCCACGGCTTACAGATATGAAAGGTATTAGACTGAGAGCTACAGTTAAGGCCAGCAGCCAGGTTGTGGGCCAGTTGGAGAATGGTCCTCTACACTGCCAGGAGAAGAAGCACAAAAGACTGGCTAGATCAGCGGGTGGCCTGGGCTCCCCTGGAGGAGTTGCCACCCTCCATGGTGCCAGCTTCTCTCTAGACCCTCTCTGGGCATGGGTCTACTGGCACAGGGATGCTGGAACAGGAGCAGAGCCTGCTGGGAGGATGCTCTGCTCTATTACAGTATGCTGAGAAGCCAGGACAGGAACATGCTATTGTGAGTTGTTGTCAAGGCTCTTCAGGGGAGGGCAGACCATCTGCACGACCCTTAACTAACTACTGCTTCTGATGCTGGGGGCCTCTCATATTTGGATATTTGGGATGGACACACACACACACACACACACACACACACACACACACACACAAATACACACAACACTGCAACTCTTTGCCACTCTATCCTAAAAACTCTCAACTCCACAAACCAAGTGGACCATTGTCCAGCACCCAGACTATTGCCCAGCAAGACTCAATGGACAGACTCTGTCCTCCAGGTGGAGGACTGAGAGACCAGAGGGACAACATGAAGTTCAGTGGCATTTGTGGAACTTCATGAAGAAACGCATTCTCCTCTCTCTCAACTTCATGCAACCCCAGGCCATAAGGCACGACCTGGACTCAGCTGTCTTGTTTACTGCTAAAGTGACGTATGGAGAGTAAACAGAATCCTCTTCCATCTTCTACATGGCACCCTATCACTCCTTCTGTGAGTGACAGAGTGAGCCCACCAATAGCTCAAAACAGTCAGAGCAGCCACACAACCTTGGGAAAGTGGAGTTATGTAACTGACCAGGATTTCATCAAAGAGCTTTCAAATCAACTCCTGAAACTCTGTGCAGTTCAGATACTAACAACAACAAAAAGTTAAATACAATAGAAGAAATGATTTAAGAAAAAAATATAGGTACTGGTAGCTCACACCTGTAATCCTAGCTACTCAGGAGGCTGAGATCTGAGGATCATGGGTTCAAGCTCAGGCTGTACAGAAAAGTGCATGAGACTTCTTTTCAATTAACCAGCAAAAAGCTAGAAGCAGAGGTATGTGGTACATGGTATTCTCAAGTGGCAGAACAGCAATCTTGAGCATAAAAGCTAAGCAAGAATACAAAGTCCTATATTCAAGTTCCAGTACCAGCAATGAATAAAACAAATAAAAAAACCCTCAGCTACTGAAGGGACTTCACTTCTGTCTCAATAACTGGTCTCTATGAAACAAAGGGTAGACAGGAAGCCCTGGGCTGTTACCTATAAAAAGGAGTAGGGGCTCCTGAAGGCTTCTACCAGTTATGGCCTGAAGAATGGGGAGCTGTTCAGAAGTGTCCACACATTCTTAATGCTGATCTCTGGGCTGCTCTTCCCTCTAGTGCTGAAAAGGCCAACTCAGGCATTGTGTCTCCTGAGTGTGGGTGCCAAATGGGCCACAAACTTCCTGTACCCTGGACAGAGAAGAGCTGGAGGGGGGCAAGAAGGCTCTCACAGATGCTCTGCATTGAGAGGGGGTGGGGAGGCTAACAAACACTAGCAAACGGCACTTACATACAGCGAAGATCATATGCTCTCACAGATGCTGTGCACTGAGGAAGGGGTTAACAAACACTAGCAAACGGCACTTACATACAGCGAAGATCAGATGCTCTCACAGATGCTGTGCACTGAGGAAGGGGTTAACAAACACTAGCAAACGGCACTTATACACAACAAAGACCAGCTAATGGCCAGAGGGTTGTCTTGATGCTCTTGTGCCCCAGATCCATCAGTACACAAGCTTCTAGGGACAGTGAAAGGAGATGGCAGGAACTTTCCTGTGGTATCTGGAGTCTGCAGATACCTATGATAACAGTGCTGACATCACCTATGCAACCCTCACCTCAGAGTGGGCCAGAAAGGACAGCCACTTCCCTCTCTCACTGTAGGTTTGGAAAGGCCTTCGGCCCAGTGACACCAGGCTCCTTGGCAGTGAGAACTGGCCTCCTCTGCCCCCTCAGTGCACGCTGTCCTCCTGGTGGCTGCCATGGAGCCTTACCTGATGACTTCTCTACTCGGCTTTTTGGATTTCTTGGCAGTCTCTACTTGCACTGGGACAACCTCGGGGACAGTCTCCTCAACTGCTGTGTCTTCACTGCCCAAGAGAGCGGCCTGCTGAGAAAAATCCATGTCCTGCATAAACGACATGCTGCGCTTCAAAGCTAATAGCCGCTCCTAGAATCAGAAAGGACAGAGCAGCAGGAGTTTACCTCTCCCTCACAGCCACAGCACCGTGACGATGGATGGCATGAGATGGCCACAGCCTCACCTGGCCTAACCACTACCAGGCACTGCAGCGGGAGTGGCTGAGGGTGCTCAGTACCCTCAGAGGTATAGCCCAGAGCTGGTGGAGGGGTGTGATGGGGGCAGAGGAGCACAGCAAGTGGCCCTGATCTGCAGGAGACACATGCAGCCTGGCTCATAGCAGCAATCTGGAAAGCCAAGGAGGATAAGTATGTGCCGCCAAAGCTCAGCGAGGCCACCACACAAAGCAAACCCATAAAGCTGCTGGCTGTGATCCAGCAAGACTGACCCAGATCATGACCATCCACCAACCCTACAGGAGACATCCAGCTACACTGCACCCCGCAGCAGGAGGGTTGATGCCTGGAGGAGAGGGTGGCCTACAGCAGGGGTCAGCACCAGGGTCAGCGTGGCAGATGGATGGAGCATGTCGTTCTCTGTGAGCCTAAGAGTCACAGAAAGTTAGAACAGAGCTCTGGTTCTCTGGCTCACTGTTAGTGGTTTCCTTACTTTGCTCATCATCTTAAAGCCCGCATGTAGGATCTTCTTGGCTAACTTGTAGTACACAGTGTCTGGTCTATTGTAGGTCATTGCATTATCGCACATCAGTTTGAAATCTGCCTGAGAAGGAGAAACAGAGAATCCATCAAGCCTTGAGGAGACATATACACAACAGGGTCTCAGTTCTTGTCAAAATGGGCCAAAAGGGAAGGGCTGAATTTTGAGTAAAAAACAATTAAACTTGCTACCTTTGAACAAAGTAATTTTTAAGAACTCAGAGAGGTTTTCATAGGTCTTTACTTACATGAAAAGTTTTCCAGTGAGAGCTGGTCAGTCTCTTTCTTTTGAGTGTAATACATTTATTAGGAGAAATGAATACATTCTGTGCTTCCTTCTTTCTTCCAGTCCCCTCTCTCTCTTTGGAAGGAACTAAGATAAATGTCTAATGCAACTTGTCTAGTTCCTTTAAGTAAAGGTAGGCACAAAGTGGTCTCTTTTTCACAGAAAAGAAACTGAAAATTCTGTTTATAAATAGTTGTCTTTGTGAATTAGAAAAATAATCTCCCTCAAATAAAGACGGCCTTACGGAAGAATTTGTCACAAAAGGAAATTATTTAGAAAGTTAATGTTGTAATATCCTACCCAATTCCTCAGCACATGCTCCCCTAGATGAGCTCTGTGTGACTGAAGTCAGCCCCGCTGTTGACAGCAGGCTGCAGTACGCATCCACCAGCACTGGGCCAGCACCCTGGGCTGGGCCAAGCCTAGGAAGCTTGTCCCTCTCTAGTTATGTATGTAGTGGTGTGGATGCTGTTTACCTCATAACTCCATTGCTTGGAGAAGGCTCACAAGGGGGTCCACAGCTTGGACCAGAAAGGATTGGGGTGTGAATTAGAAAACTAAATTATGGCCTTACTAGTCCATCCTAAAAAGTGCCTCTCTCCTTTGATATACTGTGGTTTTGAATCAGTGAGTAAGAATAGAAAAGTTAAGCTTTACCAGTCACTCAGCCTGGAGAAAGCAGCCTGATGCCCCTTTCTATACACTAATGCCAATGTTAGCAAGCATTACTTCATCTTCTCCCCTGTTCCTAACTCATCCAGCCAGAACAAAAAAGCAGAGTGCAAAATACTCAAGAGAGGTAACAATATTAAACACCAAGACTCAGCTAAACATTAGGAAAATCATAGACATTCTTTGATATCTATTCTCAAGCCAGGACATATCATTGCCTGGAAGAAGTTCTGTCTATGCCCGCACAGACACTTCAAAAAGGGAAAGAAACAAGCTGGATAACAGTAGCTCATGTCTGTAATCCTACTTGAGAGGCTGAGATCTGAGGATCACCGTTCAAAGCCAGCCCAGGCAAATAAATCCAAGAGATTCTTAGGTCCAATTAACCTGAAAAAAGCTGGAACTAGAGGTATGACTTAAGTGGTAGAACTCCAACTTTTAGCTGAAAAAGCCAAGCAAGACTGCAAAAGGCCTCGAGTCCAAGCTCCAAAACTGGTACATTAAAAAAAAAAACTAACCAAACAAACCATATTTGTACATTTATAATAGCACAAAGGATGTAGTCTAGCTTCTAGACTACAAAATACTATGATAAATCAGGACAACCAATCTATCTTACATTGTTTTGTGAACCATTGCCTAAACACAAAATCATCTTCCAAGAATGTTTTCAACTGGAAACAACCCCAAGTGAGCAAAGTGTTTACCACCCACGCCCACACCAATGGATTTGCAACAATTATTTTGGAAAAATAAAACTGAGTTACCTTAAATTCTGTCACTGACTTGTATTCATTAGCTGCAATCTTGTCTTTCATTGTGCCAAAGTCCATTGGGTGTTTTATTATCATTGAATACCCAGGAGCAATTGCATCGGTGACAGGAAATGCAAAAAATCCATGAGGATCTTTTCTGAAAGCAGAAGCATCTCTGAAGTGGAAAGATTCTAAAATCTAGATTCCTAAATCATACAAAACTCTTTACAGTCAAAATTTGATATAACTAATCAACTTTTAAATTTGCTTTTTTTTGGTGTGTGGCAGTACTCAGGGTCTGAACTCAGACCCTTGTACTTGCTAGGTGGGCATTCCACCATTTGAGTCATGTCCCCATTCCTTTCTCTCATTAATTGTTCATTTAGGGTCTAGTCTTTTTGCCCAGGATGATCCTTAAACTACAACTGTCCTATCTTCACCCTCCAGCTGTAGCTGGAGTCTGAAGTGCCAGTACTGTACCCAGTTATTGTGATAGAATCTCATTAACTTTTTGCCAGGGCTGGCCTTTGACCTTGATTTTCCTTCTCTCTGCCTCCTAAGTAGCTAAAGTTATATGTATAAACTACTGTGCACAGTTCTAAATTTGCTTCTTAAAAATAAAAAATAGTTGGGCACTGGGTGACCCATACTTGTAATCTTTAGCTACTCAGGAGACTGAGATGTGAGGATAATAGTTCAAAGCCTGACCAAGTAGAAAAGTCTGTGAGACTTTTATCTTCAACTGGCTGATAAAAAGTTGGAAGTGGAGCTGTGGCCCAAGTGGTAAAACACCACCTTGAAAGAAAAAGCTAAGCATCTAGGCCCTGAATTTAAGCTCCAGTATTCCCCATCTTCCCCCCTTCTCTACCTTACAAAAGTAAAATATAAGACAAACATGGTAGTGTACACTTTTATCTCAGGTAGTTAGGCAGGAGGGTCTTGATTTGAAGCCAGCCCCAAAGTTAGATTCTATCACAAATACAAAAGAAAAAGAAAGTAATTGGGAGTGTAGCTCCAAGTGTCAGAGTATTACTTAGCAAGCCTGAGGGCTTGAGTTCAATCCTCAGTATCACAAAAAAAATGTAATTTTAATGCATTTTAAAGTTGTGATAGGAATTTTGAATACAATAAAAAATATGCTACAACCAGTGCCCCAGCTCCATCCCTGAAATGCAAGTCCAGTAGAAATCCTGGTCCAGCTGCACTCTGGCATAAGTGCTGTCTTTTACTTGCAGTTTGGGAATGTCTACAGAGGTGGGTGTCTGTGATGTAAGTTGGGGGATACTTGGAGTTCAGACTTCTAGAGGTGGATGTGTGCACAGGTGGAAGACACGGGGGTTCAGACTTCTACAAGTGGATGTGTGTACAGGTGGAGGACATGCGGCTTAGACTTCTGAAGGATGTGGGCATAACGACAGGTGGAGGAAACGTGGGGTTGAGATTTCTGGAGGTGGTAGGATATGAAGTTCAGACTCCTAGAGGAAGATGGGGTTGAATTACCTCTGGAGCTGGCGCAGGAAGTGCTGCAGGAGCTGCTGCATGGGTGTGCTCTCATTTTCAGCTGCCAGTTAAAAAGAAAAGCCAAGAACATAACGTCAAATGCAAAGACTGGTTCTCTTCCTCTGAAAGCTTCAATGTCATGTTTGGAGCTCACGGCCTTTAAAGCTTAAGTGACAATTGTCTTTGGCTCCTATCAGCTCAGCATATCTCAAAGACTCCAGAAGCTGGCCACATAAGGCTACTGCCCACCAAGCTGCTTTCAGCTCCCAACATGTTTTAGACAAGATAGGAGGAAACAAAGATATGACAGAGCTGGTCCTGGATTTCTTGGTTATTTTTTTTTTTTACCAGACTCCTCCTCTGCAAACCAGGGATGAACACGTGCAAGCAGGAGGGACTTATAAGGCTGTTTGTCAACTGCATCTCTGGCCTACAGTTGGCCTTCAGGGCCTTCCCAATTGATCACCCCAAATTAACTCCTGAGGTCACTGGGGCTGTGCTGGGTGTACAGAACATAATATGTAGATAAGGCCAACCAATGAGCAATGATGCTGGCTTGCAGACTCCTGTTCACTGTCTGCCCTGATATAACCAACAACATGCCCAGTAACTATCATGGCTCTCCACAGCAGCAACCTCTGGTTACTACATGGCCACTGACCTCAGGGTGTTCTACTTGGAATAGGCAAATAACTCCAAATTTTAGACTAAAAATTGGCAAACTGAAGCTAGGAAAATAGTCTAGATGATGCAGGCCTTGTATAATTGGTCTCTCTAGCATGTGCAGTTTTGCTCCTTTTTTGAGGTATTGAAGAGCGTTTAAACCACTCTTCATGAGTTAAAGAAAATCTCTGTAACTGGTTTACCCCTGCTTTAGGTGAGGCAGAAACTTCAAGTCCAGGGGATACTACCACAGGCCCTGAGAAAGTCCAGGGAGTTACACCGCAGCAGTGAGCTACACCGCAGCAGTGAGCTACTCCAGGCAGGGCATAGCCCCACCTCCTAAGGACCGCAACATACAGTAATACCATTAGCTGACCTTTGAAAATGGAAGATGGTTTTCATCAAGGGAAAAAATCCTGAAAAGAAAAATGGCCATAGAGACTCAAAGGGCATGGGGATTCTGGAACTCTCTATTATGTGGTTCCTGATGGCTTGAATAACTAATTCCAGCACTGATTTCTCTTTGTCCTCTTTTCTGAAGTTCAAAGTCTCAATACTCAGTTACCTCAGTTTCCCTGTCATCTGCAAACCAGAGGATGCTGCAAGTCATAAGGAGACACACTTACCCAAGTGCAAAGCCCCAGGAATAGAATCCCATGCAGAAACTGGGGCCAGCAAATCCAAAAGGCAAAATTTCCAGCTGAAATGCCATTCCTGGCAGACACTGCCCAGGATGAAAATATACTGAAGACTTCCAGCCTCATTTACTGCAGCCTGCAGTGGGTGGGTCACTTTAGGTGATTCCAGGCCTCCCAGGTGAACCTGGCAGTCCCTTCTTCCCAAGAGAACTATCTGTGTTTCTACCAGTGTACTTGCCTCTGGTTACTACATGACCACTGACCTCAGGGTGTTCTACTTGGAATAGGCAAATACTCCTAAATTTTAGACCAAAAATTAGCAAACTGAAGCTAGGAAAATAGTTTAGATGATGCAGGCCTTGTATCATTGATCTCTCTAGCATGTGCAGTTTTGCTTTTTTGAGGTCTTGAAGAGCGTTTAAACCATTCTTCACGAGTTAAAAAAAATCTCTGTAACTGGGTAACCCCTACTTTAGGTAAGGCAGAAACTTCAAGTCCAGAGGACACTACCACAGGTCTTGAGAAAATGTCAGTCCTCAAGGACAAGACTGTGGTACCACCACAAGTCAGACAATGCACTGACTGGGATATTTAAGGGGCAGAGCCTTGCCTGGCTGTGTCCGGCATGCTCTCACGGGCCGATCTGGGGGTGGCTCCACTTCCACCTTCTTTCCTGGGTCAAAGGCATCAGCCTCTCCTTCTGAGTCGCAGTGTTCCTTCTCTCGCTTCCGCCTCTTCTCTTCCTGTGAGGGTCAGAGGCCAAAAGGTGGTGGGCTCACATAGGCCAATGCTGCATGAGCTGCATACTTCTGTCTTGTCCAAAGGGAAGCCTTTTCCCAGGGAATTAATCAAGACCCACCACAAGGGTCAGCTAAGAAGGGATGTCTGAAGATACCAGAATTATACAACTGGCCCCAGCTTTCCGAAGGTTCACGGTCATGGTCTGAGGGCTCACTGGCTACAACAGTCCTTACCTTCCGCTTCCTCCTTTCCTCATCATCGAGGTGCTTTTCCTTCTCAGACTTCTTCTTCTTTTTCTTCTTCTTTTCTCTGTGTCTTTCTCGCTCATGGTCTGACCTGTCGTCATAGTAGCTGGAGTCATGGCCAGATCCTGAGAGCTCAGTCACTTCGCTTCCGCCCACCTTTAGTACCAGCTTCAGAGGCTTCTCCAGTGGTGTGTCTGCATAATCTACACACAAATCCTGGGGTCAGCCTGGACTTGAGCAAACTACTTGAATTGCCTGTCCCCTATGACCACCATAGGGGAGAAACCCAGATCCAAGAGTGGGGGACGGGCCTTACCAAGATGCTCCACAGGGAGCCCCTGAAGCTTGAAAAGATGGGACATGGAGTGTCAGGTCCTACTTCTGTCCCCTTCCTTCCAAATACATCCTCCTCACCTGGGTACCAAGGCTGTTCCTGGGTTCTCCCTCCCAGGACCCCATCACTCCTCCTGAGCGCCCTTCCTTTGGCTCCAACTGCAAGTCCTCCTGAACTGATGGCAGGAAGACAGGACCCAGGCAGGGCAGGCATGACGGGACCCAAGGAACGTAGCCCTGTGAGCTGGTCCCCAGCTTCCTTCCATCTCCCCAGTCAGGTGCCACCCTCCACTCCCAGGGACCTCTCCCAGGACCCCTGGGCATGGCCTCAGTGTCCTCTCTCCCGGAAACCCTGTCCCCTCAGCCCGGCCTCGGCATCCCCTCTCCCCGTCCCCTCAGCCCGGCCTCGGCGTCCCCTCTCCCCGTCCCCTCAGCCCGGCCTCGGCGTCCCCTCCCCGTCCCCTCAGCCCGGCCTCGGCGTCCCCTCTCCCCGTCCCCTCAGCCCGGCCTCGGCGTCCCCTCAGCCCGGCCTCTCGGTCCCCTCCCCGTCCCCTCAGCCCGGCCTCTCGGTCCCCTCCCCGTCCCCTCAGCCCGGCCTCTCGGTCCTCTCCCCGTCCCCTCAGCCCGGCCTCTCGGTCCCCTCCCCGTCCCCTCAGCCCGGCCTCTCGGTCCCCTCCCCGTCCCCTCAGCCCGGCCTCTCGGTCCCCTCCCCGTCCCCTCAGCCCGGCCTCGGCGTCCCCGCTCTCGCCGGCCCGAGCGACGCACCTTCGTAGGACGAGCGCCACTCGGCCTTGTGCTTTTTGTGCTTCTTGCCCATGGCCGCGGCGGATTGGCGGCAGCGCGGCCGCCTGAGGCCCGGCCTGCGCCGCCGGAAGTGGCTCTGCTGCCGCCGAGCGCTTCCGGGTCAGAGGTTGGCGAGCCGCGCGCGGCAGATTCGAAGCGCGTCCGGGTGT